ATTTTATCAATGGTTAGATTAAAAAACATGGAAATGAAAGATACTAGAGAATATTACCAATACAAAAATAATAGAATGACATTGAATATAATATAAATATATATTATTATTGGATAGATGTAATGAATTGTTATAATATAAATGATCCCAATATTTAGTGTAGTTCATTGAAAGTGAAGGAATAAATAGTGATAGTCAAACAAATAAGGTACAATGATAATAATGTATATAATATATTGGATTTGATAATATGTGAATTCATATAAATTACAAGTGATGACTATGGAAAGGATGCACAAAAACCCTGTAACCAATCAACACTCTGTATGTGATGAAAGATGGTTTTATGTCTTGTTTATGTTTGTCTAAAAATAAATAAAAAATCTAAAAAAAAATCTTTCCCAGCATCAGGCTCTTCTCCAGTGACTCCTTCCTTTTCATTAGGTGGCCAAAGTATCTCAGTTTCATCTTCAGGATCTAGCTTTCTAAAGAGCAGTCAGGGTTGATCTCTAGATATTAGGAGATCTAGATATCTCCTCTAGATAGATTATATATTATTAACTGCCAATAAAGGAAAATATTTGTAGCTCAGGGTTGAAATGAGGGGTTCTTGCTCCTCTCCGAGCTTGGCTGTTTTCTTGCAGATGTTTTATTACCCAAATTAGGTAACATCATCAGTGACTATCACTGTTATTTACCTAATGTTATTTACTTTGGATGATGAAACTGGTGTAAACAAACAACCAAGCTCAGAGAGCACCAAGGACCCCTCATTATTATTCATTATTCATTATTTTCAAATTTAACTAGGAAACAGACCAGTATTAATCTCAATGGAGGAAACAGATATCACCCTGGGTTGCTCTGGCAGTGAGATGGGCAGTCTCTAAATTTGATAAATACATTAAATTGTTAACACACAATATAACCATTACTTTTTAAAAAGTGAATACCTGTTTTGCATTTTTTACTTCATCAAAGTCTTCTGGAAATTCAATAAATGGCTGAAAAACAAAACACATCAGAATAATGTGATCACATTAAAAGTTATATATATCAAAATGAAAATATCTTTGCCATTTATAATTATGTAGGGTAGCCTTTCCCAACCTATTGACTTTCGGGAGAGTTAGACCTCGATTTTTTTAGTTCCCAGACAGCAGATCCAAGAGTCATACTAGCTAGGCATTATGAAAGTTGAAATCGTATCTAGAAGGTGCCAAATTGGGTAAATATATGAAAAACAGACTGGTAAGCAGGCCAATTTCTCACCTGTCTTTCTACTGTGCCCTACAATACTTAATACGAGCAATTGTATGGCGTAAATCCTGTATCTTTTTATACCATTACACAGTTAATGTAAACCAGAGGTAAGCAAAGTGTTCGAAAGAAAGAAGTGTTTCACAAAATACATTAAGTGGAGACAAATCATCTGTCTTCAAAGTGCTAAAGCAGCCACCTCTTTCAGAAGGTTCAAGTGCCAGCTTCAAAAGCTGTTTCTATCCATATCCATACATCCATCCATGCCCAGCTACTGTGTCCATATAGGTACAGGCATGAAGCAACTAAGCATCCCTTGCAAAAGATGTGGCAGCTTAAATAGTCCAAAGAGAAATGTTTCATCTAAGCTCACGTTTTATGACACACCTCTTATTAATGCTTTGTCCTAATACAGGTAGTCCTTGAATTACAACCAGAATTGGGACCAGAATTACCATCGCTAAGTAAAATAATTGTTAAGAAAGTCACACCTGCTTTTATGAATTTTTTTTCCATGGTCATTAAGCAAAGCAACAAGGTTCTTGGTAAAATCACATCGTAGTTAACAGTCTCCAGCTTCCCCCATTGATTTAACTTGTCAGAAAACAGTTGGGAAGGTAGCAAATGATGATCATGTGACCCCAGGATTCTGTAATCATCATAAGTGCATGACAACTGCTAATCACTGCAATTTTGATCATGTGACAGTGGAGACACATTAAATGGGAGAACCAAATATAAGTCACTATTTTATCTTATAGTATCCTATAAAGCGAGTGGGACCTCGTATATGCTGGTCTTGTTGTATTCGGGGGTTTTTCCATGTAAGATTGAGATTGTCTTGGCAACGTTTCAGCGAGGTCTCACTCGCCATCTTCAGGCTGGTGTTTTTGGCTTAAAGCGTGGTTGGAGCTGGCGTCTTTCTATAAATCTTGGTGGGGTGTGTATGGAGTGCTGGCTTTGTTTCAGTAAATGGATTGATTGGCTGTATGGTTTTATCATGATTGGTAGGTTGGTGCTGGCTGTGTGTCCGTTGTTGTTTTGTGCTGTAACGGCCTGGGTGGTGGGTGGGGCTCATTTGTTGTCTAGGGTTGGTTTCCAGATGTCTGGTAGGCGGGAGGTATCGTCACGTTTATTCATGTTGTGGGGGTGTTTCTCTATTTTGATAGCTTCCATAATTATTCTATATGAGTTAGTCTTATATGGCCTAGAGAGCAATTGCCATGAATTTTTCTTTTTAAAAAACTGCCCTATCCAATAAGTTGTTGCTGGACAAATTATAAATGAAATTTATACATACAAGCCTTAACTGACTGAGAACAAAGATTCTTTCCGATGCAGTAGTCATTGGATGATAGGACATCTCAAAGAATATTATACCCAAGCTGAAGAGGTCCACTTTCTAGAAAAAGAAAACTGGAAGTCAGTATACTTGCAAGAAATAGAATCTGGAATCTAAACAGTCCGGATATCTTATTTAATCAGATTGCTTATCTTATAGTGGTCCCATTAAAAAAAAAAAATTGTGAAAGAAAGTGCAAAGAATGTCTGACTGAAAAATGAATTCTAGGACAGTTGAGAAAATAACAATGACACTGTACAATTGCTGCCATTATACTTTTATATAATACTAATGTTTGAAGTAAACAAAATATAGTATGCAAATATCTCACTAGGCAAAAGAAAAGTATGCCTAAAAATGTAAATAGTCAATATGTAAAATCAATCCTCTTTTAAAACTTCTACACTATAGCAAGTGCCATTCTAAAGGCTTTCCCATATCAATAATAAAAGGCTGTTAAAATTTTATTGTTTCTTATATCCTCTTTTTCTGCCTATACATCAGTGTTTCTCAATCTTAACAACTTTAAGAGATGTGGCCTTTTCAACCCCAAGAATTCTGGGAGTTGAAGTCCACACTTCTTAGAGTTGCCAAGATTGAGACCCACACTATAAAACATGCAGGGAACTTCAGTAAAGCAAAACCAATGTGTTGTAATAGTTTCAAGTTCAAGTTTAATTTTATTTATTTATTTAATAGAGTAAATGGCAATCTTTGGATCTAAGGAACAAACCTGGCTCCAAAAACCCCCATTGTGGATTTCACATGATGTCACTGAGGCAATTTCCCTGATAAGAATGTAAGGCTTATGGACATTTTTACCTGATTGTATGTAGATTTAGTACTTCCTTGGACTTCTGGACTCACATAAAGAGCAGTGCCAACCATTCCTGTTAAGTTTCCTATTAAAAACCAAAGATTTAATTATTGAACTATATTAACTGCTTTGCTGCCTTTTAAATGCTTAGAAAGTAACTCACACATTTTACATTATAGCTTGAAAATGCAATTATTCTACAGTCAGTTTGCAAGTTTGAATATAAGTAGAGATATTTGCCTAAATATTTTACCGAATTAGACTTTTTGTATCTCCTTTGCTTTGTAATCTGAGCTGTGAATATGCATGTGTGTTCTTTTAAAATCTAAGCTTTCAGTATTTATTGAAACTCTTTATATTACAGGTATTCACTGTATTTTTTACCAATATTAGGTAAATTATTTTATGATCACAATCCCTGTTTCATTAAAAAATGATTAGGGAAATGTTGAAGAAAAGTCCTTGATCAGAAGCAGACTAAAAGGTAATAAGAAAAGACAAGAGAGGTTCAAACTGCTAATGTATACAATGGAGCTGCTATTGTTCACAACAGAATGCTAGAAACATTTGTTAGAACAAATAAAGTCATAAATATGAACATTTCTTAGTGTTCAAATATGAAAATTAATGCTAAATGGTAGGGTATTATTGGGACTTGTTAGCAACCGACATAAGGTTGCTTAAAAATTAAGCCTGGTCAGCATTTGAAGAACAAATGCTATCCCTGATCCTGTAATTGGAAAGATATAAATTCATTTCAATCTGCATTTCAAAACTATGTTTAAAGAAGCAGGGAAACATGCTGCTTTATACCTACCCAATGGATCATTTGCAACCACATTTTGGTTGGAAACTTCTCCAGGTTTAGAGTCTACCTGAAAAAGAAAAATGCACCATATCTGGTTATATAGATCACACTCTTAGATCTGAATAATGGCTTGAAAGTAATACAATACAATACAACACAATACAATAGCAGAATTGGAAGGGACCTTGGAGGTCTTCCAGTCCAACCCCCTGCCTAGGCAGGAAACCCTATACCGTTTCAGACAAATGGCTATCCAACATCTTCTTAAAGACTTCCAGAAAAAGGCTTCTTGGCTTCGAGGGGAGGAGCTGCCGCCGTCGGGAGCTCAACAAAGCTCCTGCCAGGACTCTGGTTCGTATATCTTATAA